TAAAAAGGTCTACACTGCAAAACTAAAGAGGAAATGCATCCAAACACTGGAGTGTTCTAAGGTGACAACCCCTACTACTTTTTTCTTTTTCTTCTTCTTTTTTTTTTTTTTTTTTTTTTTTTTTTTTTTGAGCTTTCTAGGAAAACAAACTGAGGGGGGGGGTTCACTCACAGAGGTGGTAAAAGAAAAACAAATTATCACCTTGAAGCCCTTCCCACACTCAGGACTTTCCCTGAGAGACTCACCAACAAAAACTGCCACCCTCATTCCGTGGGTCAGCTGAGCAGTGTGGTTTTCCAAGGTTTGGAACCAAAGCCTGCACCCAAGCCACTGGCTTCTCCCCACCCTTGGATGGCCTCTCCCAGCACAAAATTCCTGAAGGTCCTTAACCAATACCCACAGAATCCCCCCCAGCACCCACCCACCCCATATTGTTATACTCTCCAGATGAAGACTGAGCCTGAAGCGCTAATTGAATTAGTCTATTGAAAAGACTGTCGGGTACAATCACGCGCCTAGAGGCCCCACATTTCCCAAGGTCTATAGGCTTTGGGGACCTGCGATGTATAGTCTGACCTTCTGCCTCATGATAATACCCGCACTTGTAGCAGAGATCTCCTCGTATTCACCCCCAACAAAACCGCTGGTCACCCAGTCCCCGTAGGAAGACTGTAGGCTTTTGTGTTGGGACAGCTCATTCATGTCCCGCACCACGAGGCCGCACCGCCATCTGATCCACCCTGGAAATGGGATTACCGCCGTGTGCAGGCCCACCGAGCTCACTTCTGAGAGAAGAGGGGTTGCCTTGCATATCTCCAACCACCCCCACCCCCCTTTTAAAGTGGGAACGGGAGGAAACCCTCGGGTTGTCTTTACACTAGCAAAATCTTCAGAAAATTCCTAAACGACAGGAGATAGCCCCTCCCTAAAGGTCACACAGCGAGCTCTCAGCAAGTATACTCCTCTCTCGGTAGGCATCCGGGTAGGTAGGCGTCCGTGGGGCTGACTTGGGCCCAAGTCTCCTGTTCCCCCAAACAGGTAAACACCAAAACACAGCAATGTTTTCTATTTCTATTTCTTTTTCTTTTTTTACACTGGGTTTCCTGTGACCGGCCCTCACATACACTGGCGAATGGGCACCAATACAAGGAGTTAACTGTTTTGTTGTAGCTTGCTAGACTTGAAGGAGAGGAAATAAATTTTCTTAGTTTTCACCCTTAGAAAGCTCCCAGCTTCTCTTTTGTCTGGCCTCAAACTTCCCGCAGCCCTCCCTTTCCTCAACACGAGGCTCTCTTCCCTCTGGCCAGATGTCTTTTGCACCCAAGTCAGAGTTGAGCCTCAGGGACTGGAGAGGGTTGGAGGGCTTGGGGGTCTCTTTATTGTGCGTGTGTCGTGGTCCCCAGCCCCAGAGACTGCTTTTAGGATAGGAGAGCTATCTTAACACTTCCACACCCTTTGGCCTCTGAAACCAAATAAAATCCTTTTTTGTTCTATTTCTTCCCCCTCTGAGTTCACTTAGGCTGGATATGTGACAATGTGGACAGTCTAATCAGGAGATAATGCCCAGTCCCCCAGTCTGTAGCCCTCTTGCACAGGTGACACCTTAACCCTGCAGGGCAATGAAAGTACATGCCAATCTCCACTAGTTCCTGTACTTGGGACCCAGGAGCTGGTGGCATTTGGAGAACGGGGCTGCATTCCATCCGGGCCAGTTCCCACACTTGCATCCTGCTGCCTTACCTGTCTGCCATTCTGGCCTGGGCATCCATCCATCCATCCATCCATCGAGTGGCAAGACATCCCTTAACTACCCAAAGCAGAGGAGAGTGTCTTGAAAACACAGAACGACTCCAATTCAGTCACAGGGGCATGCACCCCTGCACACCGACACCAACCCCCTTTACCCACTCACCCTGCCCCTGCTGTATGTAGTTCCTCACCCACATGCCAGCCCTGGGCTCGGAGTTCTTTGGAACCCTTACACAAGTGTCTCAGCCAATATTTGCTCACTCAGCCTGCACACACCTCACGCCATGGACGTCAGCACAGGCACATATAGTTCCCAACAGTTATGTTCCGTTTTAGGAGGGAGAGGAGGGCGTGGAGCCTGGGTGGGGGTCGTGAAGCTCAGGCGACAAGTCTAAAGGAGCATCCTTCCGGGGCTGGATCTGGGGGGTGGAATGGGGGGACAAGTCAGTGCACTGGCTGCCGAGGAGCATCGCCTAATCCAGCAGGAGCTCGTGGGCCGCGGGTGCATTTATCATCCTATTACTGTAACAAATCCGAGCTCTACTACATGAAAGGTAAAATGAATTACCGACGTTAAGCCGTCAATAAAGTCATTTCTGTAAATGGTGTCTCCAAAGGGCCGCCGCATTATTCAGCTGGCTTTATCAGCTGGCTGGAAATTACGTACAGGACCGGGCCGCGCGGCGCGCGGGGCCGTTCACTTTGATTAAACGTCTTGCCAGCGCTATGTGACAGAGCTTTTGACCAGGGTTTTATTCACAGGCCTGTGATGAACGCCAAGCTGATCAGGCGGAATGAAGAGTAATTAAAACCTATAAATTATCTTCCGCAGCCCTTCTCACGGCGTCTCCTGCAGGCGAGATAAGGCGTCGAGACCCTATTTACGGCGCTGAAAGGGACCGCGGCGCACAAAAGCTACGCGGCTAAATAGGATATTGATAGTGTCCTAATTAGAATTTAATTAAGTACCCACGGTCGCTTGCGGGATAAAGATTTCAATTTTGCGAACTTAAATATAAATAAAAACCCCACCTCTATTTCAGGGAGAAGAAATGAGGGGCAACTGGAGATTTCGGGGAGCCCTTGAGTTAGAAACTGAAGGGAACCCACCAAAGGGTACAGTGGGTCTGGAGTGGCTTCAGAAAGTTCGGGAGACCGCTGGTGGCCCCAGAGACACACTCTGGAGAGGTTCTCACCATCAGGTCACCATCAGGGCTCAGCACCGTGCTTTTAGGAAACTCAGCCCAGGAAATCTGGAGATCTCGGCTGAGCCGAGATGCAGCCAGCAATATGAATTCCCATCTTTCTCCTGTCTCTGGGACAAACTTTGCCTCACTCACTGCCCAGGTTGGCCTTCTGGGTGTGGTTTTATATTCTTGCTATCCTAGACTCTGTGGATTTTTATTTTTATTATTATCATTATCATTATTATTATTATTATTATTATTATTATTAAACTAGGGGTAGACAGTTTATTATGTTCCAAAGAGATAATCAGAAACTATACCATTTGGGGATGGTGATCAGGGTAGAGTGAGTAGGGAAAGCTTCCTTTGCAGAGGGCTCAAATCGCCTTTCTTGGACCAAAGGCTTCAGCAGTCTATTCCTGTGCCGACCCTCCAAAATCTCAGGCAGATCACTCCCAGCGCCTAGCGCCAATCTTCACTCTCTAGCCTTTGTGATGGAAAACTTTAGAGGCACTTCCACTAGGAAAAAGAGGAAAAGCTCAGAATATACTGGAGGCGAGAATACTTGGGGCTCCATCCCAAGTCGAATTCAGCGAATGCAGCTATCCTAGAATGGGGGGTAACCCGTTGTTCACATCTTCAGCCTGCCAAGGCAAACATTTGAAGCGGTTTTGTTGGTTTGATTTTTTTTTTTTTTTTTTTTTTTACTTTGCAGGGAAATCTAACACAGATTTCCCTGAACTTGAAACCCAGACACAGGCCTTGCAAGGCGGCAGGCAAAACACGTCGCCTGGCTCAGGAGCTCTGCAGAGACAATTCTACTGGGCTAAGACAGCCCGAATCCCCCGCAGCCAAGGAAGGAATGGGCAGCAGGCTCTGGGACTCTTCCGTGGCCTCTGGGCAAGGCATGGGCTTCCAGGCAGCTCGCGGGCGTTGATGATCCAGAGTAGGGTATGGTTGAGGGTCTCTCAGCGACAGTGTAGCTAGCCAGTGACACAAACCAGCAGTGCCAGCAAGGTGTAGCAGGCAGGCCTCTTAGGTTTGCAATTAGTGGGAAACAAACTGCGTCTCTTAAAGCTGCCAACCTTAAGTCTTTTTCTCATGCCCGATATCTTGTGTTGGTTTCATTCCTCCTCACACGAGAGGGAGGGAGAGAGAGAGAGAGAGAGAGAGAGAGAGAGAGAGAGAGAGAGAGAGAGAGAGAGAGAGAGGAGAAAGAGACTGAATGTTTTGGGTGTGCGCAGGAAGGGGGGCATAGTAACCCAAGTCCCTGCCTCCGGTCGCTATCCCCAGTGTGCACGAACCCATAATCCTGTATTTTTCCAACAAGTTGTGGAGTTGCTTCTCTTATCTGCCTACATTCCAAATTCTAGTTCTCTCGGATATCTTCGTGCCCTCTTCAGTCCGGATCTGAAGGAGGGGGGAGGGGCGTGGGCACAGATGGGGGTAGGGCGGGAGGACACACCGGGCCTGAGCCTCTGCACCCCCTCTCCACCCACGGCCACCGCCCCCGGATTATTTATCCGCAAAGTCCCGCGCGCGCCCATTGGACCGAACCCTGGGTGTCAGCGCGAGTCGCGGCTCGCCATTGGTCCCGCACACGTGCGGCCCTGACTCACGTGCTTCCGGTTTGAAGGCAAAAAGTGTGCCTGGGTGATTTTTTTTTTTTTTTTTTTTTTTTTTTTTTTTTTTTTTTTTTTTTTAAGCGAGAGAGTTTGTGCAAAGATCCGAGCTGTCAGAGATTTCAGGGGGGAAAAAAGAAGCCCGGCACTGGCGGAGACGCACTCTCCCTGCAAAAAAGCAAAGGCGGTTAAAGGCTCTGCCAGCCTCGCACTCTGGGCACAGCTGAGCGTGACACTGGGGAAGTCAAGCCCCTCACTACTGCCTGGGAAGATGGGTAGACTTTAAAGACTTACCTTTTTTTTTTTCCCTTTGGGAGAAAAAAAATCTTGGAGCTTTAAGAAAAATCCTTTTTCTTCTTTCTTTTTTTTTCTTTTCTTTTCTCCCCCCTCCTTTTTTTTGGGCTGTGGTTTACTCCCCCATTAAGGCCAATCACTGAAATCTGGTTGCTGAAAGAAAAAAAAAGGAAAGAAAAGAAAAAAATAGCCAAGTGTCTTCTCCTTATCTGGATGTCTACAAATTAGAGAGAGGGAGAGAGCGAGATCTGCTCCACCAGAGCGGGCGAGAGAGAGCCAGGCCAGACGCCCGGCTTTCTTTCTTTCTTTTTTTTTTCCCCTCCTGCACCCGCCCTGTGCCTTCGCTGAGGCTTCGCCTTGCCTCCTTCCTCTCCGCGCACCCCCACGGGCCCGCTGGCAAAGTGGGGTGGGGAGCGAGGCGCGGGGGGCGGGGGCCGGCGCGGCGGCCAGGGCTGCCGGGCGGCCGAGCATGGAAGAGCAGCTGCCGGAGCCTAAAAGTCAGCGCGACTCGGGCCTCGGCGCGGTGGCGGCGGCGGCGGCGGTGGTGGCGGCGGCGGCCCCGGGCGGCCTCAGCCTGAATCTTAGCCCAGGAGCCAGCGGCAGCAGCGGCAGCGATGGAGACAGCGTGCCGGTGTCCCCGCAGCCCGCGCCCCCGTCGCCGCCGGCGGCGCCCTGCCTGCCGCCCCTAGCCCATCACCCGCACCTCCCCCCGCATCCCCCGCCCCCGCCGCCGCCGCCGCCGCCTCCGCCGCAGCATCTCGCGGCGCCTCCTCACCAGCCGCAGCCCGCGGCCCAGCTGCACCGCACCACCAACTTTTTCATCGATAACATCCTGAGGCCCGACTTCGGTTGCAAAAAGGAACAGCCCCTGCCGCAGCTCCTGGTGGCGGCGGCTGCGGCCGGAGGAGGCTCCGGAGGAGGAGGAAGCCGCGTGGAGCGTGACCGAGGCCAGACTGGTGCAGGTAGAGACCCTGTCCACTCGCTGGGCACGCGTGCTTCGGGCGCCGTCTCGCTCTTATGCGCCCCAGATGCGAACTGTGGCCCACCCGACGGCTCCCAGCCCGCCACCGCCGTCAGCGCGGGAGCATCCAAAGCCGGGAACCCGGCTGCTGCGGCGGCGGCAGCGGCGGCGGCGGCTGCAGCGGCCGTGGCGGCGGCAGCGGCGGCAGCAGCATCGAAGCCCTCGGACAGCAGCGGCGGCAGCGGAGGCAGCGCAGGGAGTCCCGGGGCGCAGGGCGCTAAGTTCCCGGAACACAACCCCGCGATCCTCCTCATGGGCTCCGCAAACGGCGGGCCGGTGGTCAAGACTGACTCGCAGCAACCCTTAGTTTGGCCCGCCTGGGTCTACTGCACGCGCTACTCGGACCGTCCGTCCTCTGGTGAGTACCCGGGCCATAACGTGCCTCTGTGCCTGTGCCTTCCGGCCGGGGCCTGCCCCAGAACTCCGAGCCCCGTCTTTGGGGAGAGCAAACCCGGTTTGAAGCGCTCTCACTTCAAGTTCTCTTGCCCCAGGTCCCTAGTCACAGTCGAAAAAGCGCTCGAATCTGCCATGCTGGCCCTTTCCACCACTCGGGAAGTTACAGCTATTGGCAAGCACGGGAGGCTTCAGTTTCTGACGTTTGGTTTTCTGAACTGAGAGCCTGGAGGTCTTTTTGCCTTTTTAATGCTGTATGTTTATTATCTTTTAAAAACGAGATGTGTGATCACTCGTTGGCATAGTTTTATCTTTTAGGGAAAGGGTTTCTTGAGCTGGTGGGAAGATAGGTCTGGTGGCTTGAATCTGCAGTCTCCACGTTAGCCCTATCAGGGCCGGCTTTGGCATGGGAAATCGACCAGAGAAATAATCTTTGCCGGAACAAACACTGTGGATTTTATTCTGTGGAGAGCCCATTTGCATAAAGGCAGATATGGGGAGAGAAAACGAGAAGAGAGAGAGGCAGAGACAGACAGACAGACAGAGAGAAAGAGAGAGAGAGAGAGATCTCCATTCCCCGTGCCCAGCCCGGGTATGGCGAGTCAACCCGCGTGGGTAGAATGTAGATTAAGTCTGTGGCCAGAAAGGTGACAGCTAGTGCTCGAAGGAGCTGGCAGGCCGTGGGAGAGGGAAGCGAGCAGGCCAGGGCCAGGCTTGAAAGCTGGAGCTATGGGTAAGAAAATCGGCGAGATTCCCCTGTCCCTTCGCCCTTGGCTTCTTTCCTTCACTCTTTCCTTCACAAACCCTCCCGTGAGTAGTTACCCACCAGTCTTAGGGCAATTCTATGTTTTCTTTTCGCGTGGGAGAGCACAAGAAAGGCTAAGACCTAACCAGGACAGCTGCTGGGCCCTGGAGGAGGCGGCTCAGGCCTGCTGCCCCATGCAGGGACCAGGAGTCCTGCAAAGGCCAGCGGGGGCCACAAGGAGAGCAGCAGGGGCGTGGGTCCAAGGCCAGCGCTGAGCCCACCAGGGGGCCAGGCAAAAGGTAGCCACTGGCGCCTCCCTGCGCGTTGGAGTCTTGCAGCCCGCGCAGCTTCGGGTCGGGTGCGGATCGATGTGCACTATCAGCCCCCGCCATCTCGAGCCCCGTTATTGACACGTCGGGCTCCCTGAACCTCCGAAAAGCTGCTTTGATTGACTCGCCTGATGGATAGAGTGATTGAGCTGTCAGGCTGAGTGGGTCGGGCCGGCCAGGAGGCTACGATTTTATTACAAGTGTCCGTGCCTCTGCACACACGCACACAACAACAACACTACAACACGCTCCGGAGCTCAGGACGCACCTCCCGTAGTGGTGGCGTCTCGTCTCCAGGAGGATGCGCTCATTTCTTGGGCCATCTCTTCCTGATCGGCTCATCCAAACCCCCCAGTCCTGCTCAGGAGCAGGCCTCGTCTTTGTTCGTTGCTCCTTTCCTTTTTGTAGGCCAGAGAAGGCAGAAAGCAGATATTGCTATTCCAAAGGCAGTTCATGGGGATGAGGGGCAACCTAGACATTTTTCCTACAGTCAGTTAGGCCTGGGCTGCTCTTCACAAACAGCTAGTGTCCCTAGGTGCTGGTCTGCTGCAGGATTCAGGGGCTCAGTTTATCCACTGGTCCCTTCAGATAGATAGTTTTAGGTAATAACAGGCGTGGCAGAAACTTCTCTGGACTCCGTAGACCCTCATAGCAGTTCAGTGCCAGCACCCAACAAAGCAGGCTTCAACCCTCCAGGCACCGATTAAGCAGCCTAGTTCTCTCTCCCTGGTTCTCTCTGCCTTTCCCAGGCTGGACTCCACAGCAACCTTCCACATTAGCATTTGGGAGGGACTTCATTTTCCTGGTGAGTGTTCTTAAGGCCTTCCCACACTTTCCATCTGTGATGGCACAGGGTCCCACTGTGACTGCCGCTTCCCCATCATCTCTTGGTGGTGATCAGGCAATGGTCATCCCAATCACAGGCTCTCCCGCTCATTTGTTTGTGTTAGTTACTTCAGGGCGTCTGCTCCTCGAAATTAGAGCAGGCAGATTTAGATGAGAGATAGCAGGGCCTCCCTCCCCTCCCCAGCCCTGTGTGCCCCTTCATAGGGGGGTCAGAAGGGTCTTTCTTTTCTTCCTGGCATCAACTAAGAAGCTAAATAGAATGTCCCAGGGCTTAAGCCCATAGGCTAGGGTCTGCAGCCCCGTTAGGGAAGGGGCAGGCAGTGTCTGCTTCCTTCAAGTCAAAAAGAAAGGAAAGAAGGCAGAAAGGAAAGAAGGCAGAAAAAGGCCTCAGCTTCTCTGGAGCTGGGTGATCTAGCGCCCCAGTCCTCTCCCGGGAGTGTGATGAAAATCCGGTAGGGATTTTGCTCAGGCCTGTCTGTGGATATGTGTGTGTAGTTTACTGAGAGTAAAAGTGGGAAGGAACCAAAGTGGACCAGCCATTCTCCCCAGAGCCTGCCTTCACAGCTGCCTTTTATTCCAGGGCCTGGAAGACATTCCTGTTTGGGGACCCCTAAGTCTAGGTTATTCTGTTTGGACCCCAAAGCTCACTCTATATAGCGTTCCTTCCTTTCTTGGCCTTCTTGGCTGGGAAGTGCTGGGAGCTAGGTCTGATAGCTTTCTGGAATTAGGAGGTGGGGTGTGATCCCTGTTCCCCTTGGACTTCTGAACCCCTCCTATAGAAGGGGGCCTAGAGATCTCAATGACTTAGAGGGCAGCTCTTCGTTGGAGGTAGCGGGACCCAGCAGCGGGCCTCCGCGATCTCCCGGGAAGGAAGCTCGGGACCCCTGTGGTGGGGCTCCTGCGCTGCCATCCTCAAGGCTCACTCTACCCTCTCCTCCTCCCTCTGCTCCCGGCCCCCTTCCTCCCCTCCCCTGCCCTGTCCGCCCCGCTGCAGGTCCACGCACCAGGAAGCTAAAGAAGAAAAAGAACGAGAAGGAAGACAAGCGGCCTCGGACGGCGTTCACGGCCGAGCAGCTGCAGAGACTCAAGGCGGAGTTCCAGGCGAACCGCTACATCACGGAGCAGCGGCGACAGACCCTGGCCCAGGAGCTCAGCCTGAACGAGTCCCAGATCAAGATCTGGTTCCAAAACAAGCGTGCCAAGATCAAGAAAGCCACGGGCATCAAGAACGGCCTGGCGCTACACCTCATGGCCCAAGGACTGTACAACCACTCGACCACCACGGTCCAGGACAAAGACGAGAGCGAGTAGCTGTGGCCAGCCCGGGGCCTGCGGTCCAACCGCGCCCGCCCGTGCCATCTCCTGGCTCCGCGGGGCTGCCGCTTCACCGCTTCACCGGCCCCACGCCGCCATGCAGAGACGATCGCTAAGGAGGGAGGCACCAATCGGGAAGACAGAGAAGGCAAGCGAGAGAAAGCAATCCTCCGAGTGGACATTCACATTGGAATGAAACGGTTTTTGAAACGGGAGAAAGACTCGGACAGGTGCTATGGGGGACAAGAAAAGATCTATTCTCTAACTCACAGTATAAGATGAAACTGCGAATTCCTTAAAGCTCTATCTAGCCAAACTGCTTACGACCGTGTATATATTTAATTTCAGGTAAGGAAAACAAATATGTGTAGCGATCTCTATTTGCTGGACATTTTTATTAATCTCATTTATTATTATTGTTATAATTATTATAATTATTATAATTATTTTATCCCCCTCCCCACCTTGCTGCCCCCCCAGCTCAGTTTCGTTTCGTTGCTTTTATGTTTTGAATGTTGTTGCTTCTCTGGGTACCTCCCGCCCCCACAACGCTGGCCCTGGTTTCTCTGGGACTTTTCTTTGTGTGAGTGTGTTTCCCTGCGTGTCTGCCCTCACCCCTCCTCTACCCACCCAGGATTCTTCCACTGGTCTTATCTGTCCTCCCAAACCCCTTTCCGCTTCTGGAGACTCCTTGAGAAATACAACCCCACAGACTGCGAGACTGAACCGCCGCTACAAGCCAAAGATTTTATTATGTTCAGAAACCTGTAGTCTGAAATAAAATGTTCACTGTGTTCATGACTTGCTGACTGCCCTCTTCTTTGTGGGTTTGGGAAGAGCCTGTCCAGGCCCTGTGTGGCTACCACTCTGGCTGCACAGGGCCGGTGCAGAACCCTGGGAATCTCAGGGCAGGCCATAAGCATCACTGCCCAACAAATGACAGAGTAAAGGAGGCTATGGCACAGATTTGCTTTGGCCTTGGTCTAGAGGATATGCCTAGTTTCCAAAAGCATTCTAGGGGACCCAAATGCCAGAAAGTACAATCCCACACTCCCCTGCCCCCAGAGGCTCCAGCTGGCTCCCTAGGCTGGTGCTAGCTTAGCCAACTGAGTCTTCCTGTTAAATCTGCTTCCATGCACCAAACTATACCTTTCTTTTTTCTTTCCTCCCTTTGTGTTTTGTTTTTTGTTATTGCTGTTTTGTTTTTCCCTTTTGGTGCTAGTTTGGCTGGAGTTTGTTTTTTTGTTTTGTTTTGTTTTGTTTTTTTCTTTTTGCCTGAGCCTAGTGGCTTTACTAGGGCCTGCACCAGTGTTGGTGGTGGGCTGTCTGTGGAGCTGCCCAGCTTTGGCCCAAAGTCTCTGCAGCCTGAACTTGACCTCTTTCTTGGGGCATGAGACTCCACTTGGCAGATGGTTGGTCTGATGTGGCTGATACAGGGCTTCACGGGGCAGGGGGTCTGACAGTACTGCTTCTAGTGATTCTGTTCTGGGCCTAGAAGCCCCCAGACAGCCAGGGGTCTACCTCTCCCTGACATGACCTAGGTATAGAGGGCACTTCCTCAAATGCAACAAAGCCTTTTAAATTTCCTTGTTACAAGGCGAGGATATTCTGTATGGAAGACCTTAGGTGTGGACAGCCCAGAGGACACTGTGGATAATTGTCAGTGACCCTGGGATAGATCCTACAGGAGTGACACTAGGTGAGGCTTTCAGAGGCTAGGTGGTGGAAGAGATTGGAAGAGCCTAGATTTTATAAATCATGAATTCTACCCTCTTTTTTTCCGATATGCAAGATGTAAGTGACATGTATGCAACTGTGTGTATTTATGCAGATGAATGTGCTAGATAGGTGTCCATACGTACATATTTGTGTGCATATGTGATAACAGGCACATCATGGCAAGCCTCACTTCCCACCCATTTTGTGCATATTTTGCACGTGATTGTATTGTACAGCTGAGTGACTGGTACTCTGGGTGAGATGTATGATTGGACATTTGTGAGCTCGTGCATGTACTCATCTGTGTTTGCACATCAGAATGTTTGCCTGGTGTGCTTGGGGTTGGGGTGAATATGGGGACCCTCTTCTCTGTGCTTTCCTCTAGAGTTTATTTCCTGTTGCTGGGTTTTTTTTCCCCTCTTCAGTATTGATTTTGGAAGAAATGAGAATTTTCCTAGAAAAGGCTCCCATAATTTGGTCCAACATCCCACTCCTGGCCAGGGATCTAAACGTGCTAGGCTTTATTTACACCCTGGGAAGCCAAGAGGCCCATTCAAGTCTCTCCACAGGGCTTAGGAACTTGGGGTTTGGTGGCCTGGAGATCAGGAAGTCCATCAGACATTTCTGTGGGCCCTATGTCTTACTGTCATTTGGAGGTGTCCAGCTGCTCCCTGGGTATGTACAGCGTTGAAGCAGGGAGACTCTTCTCTGGAAGTCACTTAGGAAGTGAGGCTTTGCATCTTTAGGTCCTGCAGGCAGGCGGCCTTCGGGTGAAGGGGTCAGGTCTCTAACGGTAGCCAGCTCAGACTCTGGGCCAGCCCCCACTCCCGACCCATCTCCTTCTCCTGAAGCACGTGGGGATGTGATGCTAGTTCCCTAGGGAACCTTGCCATTTGGAATGTTAGAAATCCCTGCCTCCTCCTTTCCCCACCGTGGTCCCTTACTACACGAAGCATCCAGGCCACCTATTTCAGGGACTATGACAGAGGCAGCTACAGAAGCAGCTCTAGGAAGTGTCCCATTCCCGAAGGCCCCAGTACAAAAAGGCCAAAGACAAGGGATCTCCACCCCTTTACAGCAGAGGCCACTATTCCACCTCCCGGGTGGGTCTGTTGGCTAAATGTCTGGTGGGAGCGGTATTGTGATGTAATTTGATTTCTTACCCATTATCTCCCTTTATCTTCTAATCACGTGGGCAAATAGAGATTTCTTCATTGTTCAGCGGGAGAAACCGCACTCTGAGAACTTGGAAGCTTGTGATCCTCTGTGCTTGTGTCTTTTTGTAGCCTATACTTCAAAGATACAGCCTTGTAGTCAAGGTCAGGGCTGACCTCCCTGTCCTCTCTCCCTCCCCTTTCCAATTTTCCTTCTTCCCAGTTGGGGCAATGAAGAAGGGGAGGAGGGCTCTGGTCAGACTTTGTTCTGGCACCCCTTCTTTTAAAAAAGAGAGCAGGAGAGAGTAATAATGATCATAAATAGGCATTGATTTCTCTGATTTATGGGGCTGGCTTGGCGAGCTGCCTGTGTATTAAAGAGCAGGCCACATCGAGATAAATACTTGAACTAAGCACACTATCCCAATTTCCTCATCTTCTCCATTCCTCACCCTCCCTTAAAGATTGGATTGAACCATATACTTAAATCTTCCTCAGACTAGAAGGAAATACAAGCCACAGGAGTCTAAACAATATCGATCTCAAGCTCTTTTTGAGGGCAAAGGTCTCCGTTTTTTCCCTGGACAGTCCTTGCTTTTCCTTTGGGGTGGGGGTAGATGGAGAGGCAGGGGGAGGGAGAGGATGGGGACGGTGGGGGGAGCTGCATGCGTGCAGAAGGCATTTTGGTGTATAGGTCTGTGTGTGTGCACGTGTGTCTGCAGTGGGCATTTTGACTTGTGTGTTGTGCATGTATTTATTTAGGCTTGGGAGGTGATTGGGGCATATAGGTTCTGATAGACATGGGTACATGCAGGTGCCTGACTCATAGGCCCCCTAAATGGGGCCTGCCCAAGGTGTAGGGGAGTGGCTCTGGCTATCATAACCCCATCAGTCACCAGGGATGACTGGGAAGTCAATCTCAGAACAGTTCCCTTCCACCACAGTCCCCAGTGAGACCAAAGCACTGAGGTAGGGTGAGCTTTGTCTTCTCCTAAGGATGCTCATGCTAAAGCTAGAGGCACCAGAAGAAGGCCCACCCCAGTGCTGGGGTGGCCCTGGGCTTGTTCAATGGTCAGCTTGGCTATTTCTTTTTGTGCTCCAGACAAGCCATTCTTGGGCAGTAGACATGATACCATTAGCTCGCCTATATGAAACTGGGTGCAAGATGGGTAGGAAGGCCATGTTTCCAGCAGAACCCCCTGTGTGCTTCAGATCTTGGTCTTGTTTAAGCTGAACAGGACGCTGTTCATATTAAGGACCATATTGGTCCTCACCCCCCCCCCCCGCCTCCTCAGGGTTAGAGCACTGTTCTAGCACTGTTCCATCCCTCTTGAGTACTGGAGGTTTCAACTCTTCCTTGGATTTATCAACTCAGCTAAGACTCCTTAGCTTAGTGATTTATAAAAAGGGGGCTTGTCCATGATGGCACACTCCACTTTTAATCACAGCACTCACATTCAGAGAAGCAGGAGGATCCCTGTGAGTTCAAAGTCAGCCTGGTCTACAAAGTGAGTTCCAGGATGGCCAAAATTACATAGTCTTATTTTGCCTCAAAAATAAGCAAATAAGAATAAAATAAAATAAAGGGATAGTGGGAGGCTCTGGTAATATTGCTCCCAACCCCCCCTTCAAATATGCATTCTTTTAATGAAGCTCCACTCTTGGAGTGGTCCTGGGGAATGCTCAAATAAAAAGGGGTTGCTCTGCATGTAGAAGAAAAAAAATCCCGAGATGGAAAGGGTCTTTTGAGAAACATAACAAGTGGGAGGCAAAGCCCTCAGTCACAGTGCCATCTGTGTCCCATCAGGAGAATGGTACCAGTGTACAAGAAAACATGGCACACATACAGGTTTCTACACAAGAAAATACATTGGCACATGTATGAAGTATGCTCATGTGGGAAACAAATGTGCTTGGTTCTCATGTTCAAAGGTGTGATCACAGCATGCGTGGAGACACTACCAGGGCATAAGGTTCTGGCACACATGTAGGCTAACAATACCAGGACTGTGATGGGACACATACTACACATCCAAGTCCCAATATGTGGGCCATGTTCCTAGCTAGGGTAGGAGACAGTGGCCTCTGTATGGTTGCCACCAGAGAGTTCTGGGGCTGAGAGAGGTTGGTTGTTTGGGAGTGTAGGAGATGGGAGTCAAGGCAACCAGTGGTGAGGTGAGGTGGCTCTTTCCCTTAA